AATGGGTTACGAGAACATCGGTGGTGGTAAACTGCGTGCAAATGGTATTTGTTGTATCGAATCATTAGATTCTGTCTTTAAGATGGGAACCCTAAGAAATTAGAACATTTTCGAAAATTTTCTTCGCATGATCGAATGAGATCAAATACTTTTAAAGACGAACGAAAGCAAGAAATTCTATGGAGAATCCAATTCATCAGTTTTACTCTCGACTTTCAGGTACTCCAGCACCAGCTAGAAATCGATCTCATACAACTGCAGTTAAGGATCGTGGACCGGAAGATAAAAACAGGTTTCGCATGAAACGCTTTTTGTGAAATTATTCCCTATTAGTACAATCACAAAATATTATTGTTGCGTAAACCCTGAATGAATGAATCGATGAAATATAATGTGATTCGAATAGCAGTTGATATTCAAACGTTCATATTTAGGGCACTTGATACTCAAGCGCCGATAACGATGGGTGATGAGGATGACGAACAGACTGGCATTCATGGTAAATGTCAGATGATCATCTGTGATAAGGAACATCACGATAAACCCAAATATAAACAGAAGGAGTTCATGCGGTCCGTTCTATCGTTGTTTATCTTATTTCACATCGTCAAACTTCAGCTCATGTCACTTTTTGTACTAACAGCACTATGAATATAAGTATAGCATGACAGCGAAAATATCCAGCCATTTTGACGCCAAGCATCTTGTACCAAGTGAACATCAATCATTACGTATGGAAGTTCACTAAACCCATGCAATTGAATTCCTCGAATATATTGTAGCGTAGATAACATTCAAATTGGCTGCAATGCCAGGTATGGTGACAAATATAATGAGGATTGAAATTCAGTGAATGAATTGTATTCAGACCGAAGTATGGAGCCGTAAGTTTCGATGTGATCGATGCGGTCAACGCTCGTCTGGCTGCAGTGAGTGGAAATGCCGATATATTCAACAATTTACGGGTTGAAACATCGGTTGAGAACAACGAGAAACGTAACGGTGATGCTGAGGTTAATTTCATTTGCGATTCATTTGGGTACTGTGCTTTTGTCATTCCGATGTTGAACACACTAGAATTGTTTTGAGGGGAAAAAAATGGTGATAGCGATTATAGTAGAGTTGTAGCGCTTTTATGCTTGCAGAAGTTGTATCGTCGAACAGATCGATTGTTTGATCGTCAGATTTTTTTGTGTTTCTGAAAAGCCAAAACAGACTTATTTTCAGGTAAATCCGACGAACATGAAGAAGTTATCGCAGGATGAGGATGCGAACGCAGGCGTTGCTCACGTATCACGACCGAAAATAACCACACAGCTATCGAACGAACGCACCAATAAGAGTAATCGTTCGATTACGGTATGTGAGACTCCCTTTATTCGCTGATTCGCAGCTGATGTGTTATCCCGTTGAGCAAGTTCGAGAAACGTGATAGTCACAAAAAAGTGATCAAGCTTGAATTCACAATACGACGATTTTGCATTCCCATATTTTTTCACTCGTGAATTCTCCTCCGAGTGCTGGAGGAGGACATTGTTTTGAGAGTTGCTCTGGTTGAACCTGAATATTCAAACAGAATTTAATGCAATGTTCCATTCAAAGAATTTATCGCATTGTTTTTTCTCGTTATAGCCAGGTTTCGGTGTACTGCGACGAGCGAAGGTTTTTTCGACTCTATTAGAGTGTGTTCCGTTGCTTTTTTAAGCATGATTGATTGATGATCACTTAGTAGTGTCGAATTATATGAATGCACTCACACATTCATCTGTAGATTATCAAAATTTTCTTCTTAAGACGATTCCGTTTGGCTTTACTGGCCATCCAAGATCATCATCAGCTATTGTTTCAAGTAATCTTTCACTAATGAATTCTGAGAGGATGGCCAGTAAGGTTTTACGTGAGTCATTATTTGGAATCGAAATGCACGTTTAGTATCATTTATAATTATTACATTTTCATATATTCGAGAGCACAAATTGAAAATTGTGTTCAAGTTTTTTGTTGTAATCATATTCGTACATTGGACTCAATTAGTCGTCGGGTGTATGTGGCTATATTTTATCGATACCGTTCGTCAGTTGTGCTCTTCTTCTACTGAATGCTTCTAAGAGAGCTCGTGTTCTGAAAAGAGATACCGAATTGAGTATTTTGGAAAGTGGTCTATCTCCTTATGGGTTGATTCAGACAACGACTATTCAGTTCTCTCCTTTATCTTCGGACTCTTTGCTTCAACATTTTTCTATAGTGATAATGAGACGCGCACAATGTGATGAAAGCTTGATTGGAGTAGATTGATGAGCCATTGAGTAGAATTGTTTTGAACAGATTCTTGTC